AACCTGCTGGGCTTTTTCCTCCTCCCCCCCACCACACACCCATGGCTTAACATGTCAAGAACGTTTTAAGAAAGCTCTTCTGCTTTTTCTCAGGCAGCGTTGCGCAGCAGGCAGTTTGGGTCACCCCTCCTTTCCTGCCAGGACAGGGGCGGAGAGCTGCAAGGGCAGAGCAGTGCACCCACTCATCTTCCCCGGTTGGAAGCAGCAGCAGCAGAGGCAGCGGGGGGGTCAGGACAGTTTTATAAAGTGGCGGCGGCCGCTGCTGGGGTCCTGGGACTTTCCCTGGGGGGGTGTCAACTCCAGACTCCCCCCCCCCCATGTTCAGTGCCTGTGAGCTTTCGAACCCCTGTCCTGCTGCCTCTTTAAGCGCCTTAACCAGCTCGATCAACTGCTGACCTCTGCACGGGTCTGAGGTTTGGGATGACAGTGTAGAGCAGCACGCTGGCCTCCAGCCTGGAAGGTTGCAGGTTCGAATGCTAGCTGAGGACACGGCTGCGGTGCCCCTCAGCAAAGTACATTGATTGCAAACCTCCTTCTATAAATAGGTACCAGCTTTGGATTGTATGAATGTTATTGCAAGTTGCTTTGGACAAAAGCATCGTCCAAATAAACGAATAAAGCAGCACCTTTCCAACAGTCCTGGGCCTCAGGACGTTCCGAGCTTCTGCCGCTCCGCGTGGCGAAGTCTTTGGTCAGCGAGCGAACGCTGCACTCCGGCCAATCAGACCCGGCCGTGCTGGACTTGACGACGCTCTCGGACACACCTGAATACTGTTGCACCTGCATGAGAAGCAGCGCGTAAAAGGGGGGAGAAAAAAATCCTCCTCTTTCCCCGAATCAATTATGCCAAGAAGACCCAGCTCGCAGGACAGCAAATCCTGCCAGGTTTTTCTTCTTTGTAGATTCCGAACACTCAGCCTGCAGCGTGACTGTGAGACCGTTTCATCTCCTCTCGTCACACCTCTATGCCAGAGCCCCCCCATCCCTCCTAGTACAGCGGTCAGCGGCCTGAATTTCCCTGGAACTCTGCCCGGCCCTGCCACACTCACTCAGCGTTCACGCAGGTATGTCTCCGCAAACTGCTGCACTGAGTCCAACCCATCTCCTGTCCTTCCCTGTTTTAGGTTGATAAATTGTTGCTAAAGGTGCAATTGCTTTGACCTGCACGTTGGTCTTCAATACGCAAGGCTGGAGGCTGCTCTGTGGTTTCCACGAGAGTGCAATTGGAGTCTGACTGCAGTCTGCACTGGCTGCCGGCGCCCAGCAGGAGATTGCTCTTCCTGTGGTGACCACAGATGGGCAGGCGCTTGAATAACAACGCACGTACTTGATCTGTTTATGCCAATCAGATACTCCCCTTGCACTTTTGAAGACTAAATCCTAATTCTGCAACTGCCCGGACCGTTTCGATGTAAAACCAGCTTTTCCTGAAGAGAGGCAGCCGTGCCCTTGCAGTGACTGAACCAGCTAGTGAAAACATCAGTAGTTAAATAGGACAGGCGTCAAGTGGAGATAAATGCTGAGTTTGTCGCCTTCCGAGTGGCGTGTGTTGAAGGACAGTTTACGTCAGCTCTGCCCCGCCAAGCTGGTCAGAGAGCCAGCAGGTAGTCTGATCTCTGCTCTTCACTCTTAGTGTGCTGGCACCACATTTTTAGGCAGTAGAGAAGGTTGTTTTTCCGATGCATCACTACAATCACTCGAAACAGCCACACAAATAACAAAGACCGCAATTAGGGCAAAAAAAAAGCAACAGCCACTTTCCATTGAACTCCTGTGCCCGAATATCACTTTTTGGACACTTGAGTTTTGGGCTTGGCTTATGCGGTTTTTAGGGTTGTTGTTTTTTTTAGTTCCAGGGAAAACAAATGCCACCACCTGCTCTAATCCTGTTCTCCTTTGCTCAACACAGTCTCCTTTATCATTCTGTTCCCTTATCCCTCTCTCTGTTCCATCTTCAACGTGACAGTTACGTTCCACAAATGTGCCTTTTTCGCGTCAGGAGTGCACAGAAAGAAAAAGTGTCCAACATTTCTCAGCAAGACCGACCACGTCATGACTCAGTAATGCAGCTGTGCATGCCAGACCAGCAGCTGCGATAGCGATCGCATTTCACATTGGAGTGCAGAAGCTCCCCCCACCCACCATGTTTCTGCTAAACAAGGTGTTAAAATACAAGAGAAACCCTGCATCACCCTAAAGTGCAAAGCACTACAGTATATTCTGCTATGTATACACAGGCCCAGATACAGGACACTTCATAAGCCTAAGGTTAGTAATTCAAACTACGGAATCTACAAGACTAGCAAAACAGACTAGATCAGGGAGGTCCACAGTCCAGCTCGTTATCTTCATTTCTTTAGATCAGAAGCCATAGGAACAGTAATTAGTTCTATGGGGGTATTAAAAGCCAAGCTGCTATGAAAACTCCCTGGACTGTGCACCATCAGGACTGGACTCGGGCACCCCTGGACTGACTACAGCCCAGCTTCATGCTGCTGACGTGGCCCTGAGCTTTCGTTTTTTTTCCTTTTCAAAAGCTGCTGTGCAGTACACTCTTGAGGGAGCTACAAAAAGACATGCAAGCACAGACTTCAACACATGCTATACTAGTACCTCAGCTCTGCTACCTACCATTGGTTAAGGATATCCTTCCAAATTGACACTCCAAGCCTGATCCTGGAGAGCCCCAGTCCAGGTTTTCGAAGCCACTATTGCAACACCAGGTTCGGTCAAACTCCATTCCTGGAGGGTCTGGTTGTCTCCAGGTTACAAACTTGGTCTTATTAATTAATTGCATAATTCTAAGATTGCCTTGGGTGATTAATTGTTTAATTGACTCCTGGCTTTGGAACGAAACCCAGAAGGCACCAGGCCCTGCTGGACCTGGAACCCTACAGTCTAAAGCCTTGTCGTCAATTAAACAGCCGAGGACCTCTAACCTGAACAAATTATTTCATCAATAACTTCCAGGTTTTCCCAAACTTTAGAAATTGGTAACCTACAATACGGACTGGGGTTCTCTGGGAGCGGGGTCGGACACCTTGGATCTAGCTGGAATCGGGATGAATCACTGGATTTCAGGAGAAACATTTAACCTCCGTGTAGGTTGAAATCGAACTGGCTTTTGCACATTTCTGATTGCCTTTGTCCTGTGGTAATAATAAATATCTACATATACATGGCTGTTCATTAGTACAAGACAGCCAAGCGTAAAGTTTCAGGAAATCACATTTGTTACATCACTGTTCAGAATGTCAACGCACAGTTGTTGTCTCTTTATAATACAGTGCTGGCCTATTCTCGTTTAACATTCGCAAACCACACATTTCTCAGAAAGTCTCCTCTTCCCTGCGAGGTTTTTTTTTTATCAAATTGAAAGCTGTTGAAAATAGCCCAAAGTCTTAATTTTGTCCCCGGTGGTTTAAAAACAGCTCCCACTCCTAGATGCAACAGAAGTGGTGACCAATAGCTGCATCTGGAAAGCTTTATGGCTATAGAGAGGACTGAGGGCCCAGGTGCTCCCTGAAGAGAAAGGGGCTTGTTTGTCCTCGGTGGAAACGTGTGCAGGACAGGCGGATCCTGATCAGCCGTTGTGTCTGAAACGCGACACGAGCTCGCGTGGGGCGGCCATCGTCCCGCGGAGAAGCGCCGCGGGGGAAACGTCTCGAAAAGACTTCGAGGAAACAAGCTGCCCCGGAAGAGAGAGGAAAAAAAACTAAGAAAAACGGCTTTCGGAGATTGGTTTTGACAAAAAATGAACATCGACAGGAAAATAATCCAAACCGGTGGGTTTCTGGCTCTCGTCTGCGTTCTGGGGAGCACAACTGGAACGGCCCCGGAGAGACGCATGTCTGCCCACGTGGCGCCGGGGCCCCCAGCTCCACCAGGCCCCGGGCCCCCAGAACGAAAGCGGGCCCTGCCTGGCGGCCTGGCTCACTGCGCCTGGCCGGCGCGGTTCTCACTCAGGTCCTCTTTGGTCTTCTGGATGCAGCTGAAGATCTCCTGAAACAAGGCCTTGTACTCGGGCTGCTGGCCGTCGGGCGAGGCCAGCGGCTCGTCGGCGCCGGGCGAGGGCAGGGGCAGGGCGCCCCGCGAGGGCCGGCGGGCCGTCTGCACGGCCTTGTGGCTGAGCCCGTCCTCGCCCAGCTGGCAGCGGCGCAGCAGCTCCTCGTACTTGACCTGCAGGGCGCTGTACTGCGCGTCCACCTCGTTCAGGAGGGAGATGCCCCGCTGCTTGACCGCCTCCGAGCGGCGCGCGCAGGTGCGCTCGTGGCCCCTGCGGATCTCCTCCGCGCTGCTGCAGCGCTTCAGCGGGCGCCTCTCCGGGGC